GATATGTGGGAAGTAGCAACTTTGATACCTCGACCATGTTAAAAGGAAGATAATGATTCACTTCTTTAACTATCAATATGATACGATTGAACAATTCTTTGAGCCATTCTTTATCAACTCAGATCTTATCAGACTGAGGATGACCACCACTTGCAAGAAACTTCGCAAACTTTCCACAATTATAAAAAAAAAAAATACTATGAAAAAATGTACACCTTGTGCATGAAAATGACATATCTATAACGGTACATAATCGCTAATTCATTACTTGTCAGTACTTACGAGGTACATAACTATCTTCCTACCTTCCTTTGTTTGATCAATGCTCTGTAGTCAGATTTGTTCTCTCACCGGTACTTTGAAAGTCTTCATCCATGAAAGGGAGGAAGCCAGCCCCATCTAAAAAAATTGAGGTCGCCGATTATATTTCCCCCTAACAAAGAAGGCCGTGTGGTGGACTATTTTCTAAAGAACTCAGAAAAATCCTTCTAGAAACTTTCCATTGCTAGAGTGAAGTTAATTATGGAACTTCTCAAAAATATAGAGTTTCAAAGCAGTATAGAGGAAAGTAGAGACGAGAGTTGCTTTTCTCTCGAAAGATCGTTGCTTATTAGTGAGATTCCCGAGATCTCTCGGGAAATAGGTAGCCGGGTTTGAGGTCCCCGAGTAAGCGACTCTAACATCCAAGAATCCTTAATTGTCGGCGAGGATGCTACTGCACCATTTTACTGCCTTTATGATTTGCGGGGATGCGGGAATTTGATTGAGGATGATGCCCGATAGGTGATTTAAGGAAAGGAGGTACGGATCGGAGGGAATATGGTTACAATCCTGTGAAATGAAGAGTGTCTTGCCCTATGCAGATTAAATGAACTCGCCTTGGCTCTCCTGTCATATAAGGATATGTTGTTCGATGGATTGAATGACATGGTAATAGGTAGGATGGGTACGAGGATACATGAAAAGTGTACTTGAGCAATGTAACTTTTGCATGTTGACTAGGAAGTGAAGCGTGGCTTCGGAGATTCGGGGACTTGCAAGATGGAATGTTTCGTATAATGGACATTCGTAAAGAAGCTTTAGAATGATTAGAATCGGTGAATGGTGCATTTGTGAAACTTCCGCCGTAGAACGAACATAGTTTGTCGTATATATCTATTCGCCAGTTTGCGAGCCAGAGTTTCTATAAGGATGATGGAAAGGCTTTAGAATGATGAGAATCGGGCTGTGGATTGTACTACCCCGGTTGTACATCCGATGGGTGGCTACATTCGTTGACTTGCGAAGCTTGTGAAAGCCTCAGCATTGATAGATATATGATCGTCAATTTTTGAGTGTCAGTTGAAGACCGTAAATACATTTGAGTTGACGAAACCATTCTATTTTGCATCAATAACTACGCCGCGGTGACCATAGATTACGCATTGTCGAACCAGGCTCTTGGCTAGAATTGTAAGAACGGGACCAATGTAGGGGGCTTGATCACGATGCAGTACCAGATGTATTTTCGAAGATGTATTAAAAAATTGCATCCGCACAGAACATGCAATACAAAGGCACGAGGACGGTGATGCGAGATTCGAAAAATTGGTTTGCGGGAGAGTTTGTTTGTCTTTTTCTCAACAATAGAATATCTCCTCAACTTTACCCCTTCATCAATCGGTAAATTCACGGATCTTCCCCCATGGCTCGACTGATGTATTATAAGTTGAGATACCCTCCTTACATCCTCAAATGATTCTCGAAGCTTTTCCAAGGTGTCAGTGAGATAACGAAACTCTTCTAATCGTTCGTATATGTTCGTACATATTCGTACATATTCGTACCATCAATTGATACTGCATCATCCCCGCGATTGTCATCATCCAAAAATAAATCCTTGTCCTCACACGCCTTGCACAAATCCTCCTCATAAATTGCCCCTCCCGATAAAATCCCGATAAGCCCTTCCCGTGCCCCTCATTCTCATCATACCACTTCCATATTCAATCCCCACACTCCCCACCATCCACCATTGTCTATCTCCCCGACTTCCTTTCTGACCCCGGGTCATATGGTACGTATGAATTGCTTTTCTTGCTTCGTGAACCTCCTCTACCTTTGAACATCTTTTGAATTCATCACATCGACTCTGAATACACAAACATACATACACGTTTTGTATCCTCTTCTTTCATATCATATTACACATATTCAAAATGGCGCCAAAAGGACCCTACAAGCTTGTCACAGTCAACAAAGTCCCAGCTCGGGCAAAGATCTTGATTGGAAGAGTGGTTGAGGATGTGAAGGAGAACTATACCATTGAATATGTCAAAAACGCCGAACGTGAGTTTGATCCATAGGCTTTCTTCCCTATCTTGGTCTTTGCTATGGGCTTCGGACTTGGAGGTGGTCTTGTGATACTAAAGAGGGACATTAAGGCATATAAATTGTCAAAGGAAAGATGATATGAAATTTTGGAAAAATGGCATGACAATGAGGGAGTAGTTCCATCTGTCGAATGCCCTACAGTCATTGGCTGCCTAGGTGAAGTCTTACTGGATTTAAATCCATAAGTTTCACAAGTAAAATCCTCATTTACTTCATGTTCGAATCTGGAAGAAGTCGCCGGTTCGGAGTAGAACTGAAGCACGTGAAGATACCAACAACTAAATCGAGGAACGGAGCAATAATACTGACTGTCTCACAGGAATGGAAGACGTAAAAACCATGGTCGAGGAGCAACAACCAGATGTTTTAGTACGTATAATTCCTCCCATTTTCTCACCACTTCCAAACTCCCACACTCCCTTAACACCTACACCCTCCGTCTCTCCATCTCTCCACCCTCCTCCTCCCCTTTCTCCCGAGCGAGCTTCTTCCCCAACCCCTCCTAACACCCCCCCAGTTCGTAGCCTCAATGTGGACGACCGAAGAAGCAAACGAAATCCAAGAAATCGCCAAATCCACCAAGCCAGGTATCAAAACCATGGCCATCCCTCACGGATTACAAATTGAAAAGGGTCCCGATGCTGTTGTGGAGTTTTTGAAGGAGCAGTGGCCGGGTCTTGTCGATAGTGAGTTTGTATTTTATTTTTGTTTTGATGGGATTTGATAATGATTATGATGATGATGATGATGGGAAAGCTAACTTTGAGTAGACTAGGAAAAATGATGATTAAAAGTAGGATAGAAGAAAAAAGTGGGAGTAGATGGATTTATAGAAACTCCAAATGCATTCATGTATGAATTTTTGCAAATCCCCATAGAAAAATTAAAGTAGAACTATAATCAAGATATCCGGTATTGAAGTACCTTGCTTGATATTTGAGAAGGAGAAAATGTTATTGTGCCATAGTAGGCATACCCTGTATAGAGGAAACGGAGCGTGTTATCTATCCCACCCCAATCCCAGTGGATTCGATCACCCGAATTATAAAGAAAAATTCAATAATATCGAATCGTATATCGTCCATTGTTCTATTTATCCATATGGTTACCCATCGCGTCTATCACCGCATCTTTACACCCTCACTTCTCCTTCTCTATACCCCCCGAATCTAAAAAATTCTATCAACCTCCTCATATATCAACCGCACCATTATATCCTCTCCCCCCATGCCACTTTCATCTAATCTCTCTTCTCCTCATAACCCCCTACCCCCCTTTCCCCTTCCCCACTCGCCTCCCTCGCATACCCATTAACCATCAGCACAAAAACCGTCACCAACAACGTCATAAACGCAATCGCAACAAATAATTCTTTCTTACGCTGCAACTTTCTATCTGATGAGTTTGTGGAGGAGGTGAATCGCACGCAGCAGTTATTGTGTCCTTTAATTTATTTATTAGTTATTGTATAAAAGATGGAAATGGGATGAGAAGTGATAGAGAGAGAAATACCATTCATGACCAATGCTTCCTCCATATCTCTCGATGCATCGGTAAACACAACACAGCAGTTTTGTCTGTTTCTTTGATGTTCGCTTCCTGCGTTGTTACCGGTACCAGCGGCTCTTAATCTGCGGAGTTCTTCATTTTCCAGCTGCGTGGTAACATTAGCTTATTTCTTTATTTGTCTGGTCTTGTTCTCATCAAGTGTCATCCTCTCCTCCAAAAATCAAAGTAAGAGGAGTTAAAGACAAATTTGTCAGAAGGGCAGAAAACGATAAGCAAAATTAAAACTAACAAGCAACCTCCCAATACTCTCCTCCAACCTCTCCATCCTCCTCTCCAACCCCTTCACCATCATCAAACCCCCCGTACCCTCTCTATCCTCCCCCGCTTCATCACCCCCAGAAGTCGTAGTCGCTACGCCCCAAAGCTCTACTCCACTTCCTCCACTCACACCGCTCACCCCACTAACATTACTAGCCAACGTCCTCGTACTCGGCGTTGGACGCGGAGTACTAGAGCGGGAATGAAAAGAAGGCGGTGCGGAGTCTGGATAATTCGTAACATATGAATTGTTGAAAGGAGGAAATGGTGTAGTCTCTGCTCCGCTTACTCCTCCTATCGCGTTTCCATACGTGTTGCTTAAGAAAAATTGCGAAGTGCCTTGGTTGTTTAGATGCGCAACTTGACTGCTGTGAAAGCTGGGCGGTGGGCTTCGAGATGAGATACTGGTGATGGATGTTCGATGGCTTGAAAGAGCGGATGAGGGAACGGAGGTAGGAGTACCGGAGTTGTAGTTGTAGGAGGGGTGACTTTGAAAGATTGGATCGAGAAGGATCGGGGGATTTGAAGAGGGAGGAGAGGAGGTGCGGGGGAGCTAGAGGGAGGTGGTTAGTTGATTGGCGGGCTTGTATGGGAGCGGAGAGAAAGAGAGGATGGGATGGGATGTGTGACTATGGATAGGTATGAAGGGTAGAACGAAAGGTGTAGAGCCTTTTGGACGTCATGAAAAGGTAGAGAAAAGTGGCTAGGAATGAGTATAGTAAAAGTAAAGCGACGAATAGCAATATTCACCAATACATAAACGACGCTCTCCCCTATCTACTTGACACTCGATGCATACATAGCAACTCCAATCAAGCATCACGAAGCACAATACAGAAGAAGCGGAAGTTTCCAATTTTCAATCTCCAATCTCCAGACCCCTTCGAATTACGTAGCCCATCGGCCCTCTCAATCCCCCCCATTGCGCATTGCACTTCTCATCTCAATGAAACAAAAAAAACTCACGGCTTCATAACGCGCACGATTCATCTTCGACACTTCCGAAATCTCCGAGTCAGAATCTCTTCCGTATACCCAAACTCATTTTCTATCCGCGTACCTCTACCTGTACCTAGATGTGTGGATCAAAACCAAACCGTTTGCAAATAGACTTGAAACTCGACAGGAACCAAAGAGCGTACGTATTCCCTTCCGCGTATGAATCAACAAATTACAAAAAGAGCCAAAAACTTCAAAATTCTAAGATCTCACTTCTTTGTGCCTAGAACCCAAGGGAAAACCGTACATATAATAAAAGAGAATCCTCGCTCAGGAAATCCCGCCGCGTCATCCATATTCGGCTCGCAAGCTTGCAACACTGCCACAATAATGGATTGGAATGCGATAAGAGTTAGACTTGCATATGCGGGGTCTAGGGTTCTGCCACTTGACGAATTGAGGAGTTATGATTGGTCAAATCATAGCCCTGTAGGGCTATGCAATTCATGTGATGAATAGGACTTTCTAGGCAGAAGCATTTCGACTTAATCTAGCATTCTGGTCTGATGAAATCTCGAGGTCAAGCTTTTTTGGTATGCATATGAACGATTGGGATGAATTTGCTTCGCACAGTAAAATTGTATTAATGTAGCTAAATATTTCAGTAGTAAAGATGCCATATCTGCAACGATTAGTCCTTTCTAAATGTTAGTCTACGCTCTTTTAGATCGGCAACAATTAACAGTAAGTAGTATAATAGCAAAAATAGCAAGATCCCCAATTATTCAAAGCAGACCATCCTTTCTCATAAGTTAGCAACCGTAGCAATCGTCTTTACATCGGCTTCTTCTCCACACTCTCCACAAACAATTCTTTTCGTCCACCTTATCTCTTCCCAATCTGTCACTCTCACATTGATGATATGCAACAACCAAGAACCGTTTTTGCCGTCCTTCTTGACTCTGCCCAAACATCTTGCCATCAACGATTCGCTTGATTCGATGAAGATTTTGCTTTCACTCTCAGCCAGTCCCGTCGTCTTGAAATTCGCGAGAATACCCTTAGCAAATGGTGGTCGATCATGAAATAAGTCTGCGAATTGAAAATGCTGTTTAGTAGTACCAGGTTCTCGAGATGAGAAATTAACACGCGCAAAGAGCTCAATAATTGCGTCTTGACCTAATGCATTGCATCGACCTCCTTCTTTAAGCATCTCACCAATCCGGAAACAAACCCGAAGAATGGTTTGAGACGATAATCCATTGATTGGGCATCGGTCTTGAACCAATTGGGGAAATTTCGGCCGAGCAAATGGTGCAAGGTGTTGATATTCATGACTATCATCAAGCCACATCTTCGATATCTTAGTTTGAATCGATTGAACAGGTGTAGACAATTTCTCTAGAGGTGTGCTTCTCAATGATTGGCCGAGGGCCTCGGAACATTGAACGACTGGGGCTTTGACCGATCTCAAAGCCGTCGATGTAATATACCCCCAATCGGCATCTTCTTGTGCCGCTGGAGGTTTCGAGGGACTAGATCTATCAGTAGATTTGGCCAGCGCTATTCCATCAGAAAATGATTCTCGGGACGTAGGTGATGAGAATTGAAGAGTATCATCGTATACTTCCCTGTCAGTATCATCACCGTCACGCGGAAGGGTTAAGCTTGGCGGTGGTTCGAATGATTCTACAACACCTTGAACTTGACCTGTTCCTGCGAGTCGAAACAATTCTTCTTCCAAACTAGTATCCATTGGGAAATCGCCATCCTCATCTATTACAATAGGTGGAGATGCAGTGCGAGTGCGAGTGACTTCTTGCGAAAGAGTGACGAAATCGTGTAATTGTGTCGTCCTCGTGCGTGAAGAAGAAACAATATGTGAAATGTAGGGTGAAGATAGTCGTACTGGAATGCTTTGGATCAATTGGCATCTCATGGGAGATTGGAGAATAACAGGATCTGCAACCAATGCTAACAAATCTTCATCGTCGATGTCATCGTCAAAACTATCGCTGTCAACACAATCTAGAGGAGGTTCTGTAATCGTTGGCATGCCTTCTCCAATGACTGATCGCTCAAATTGAATGTCGTTATGATAGGTTTCGGCTCTAATTGTTGGCACAAGTGCCAGTGAATGCTGAGAATTCTGAGCTTGTTCTTGCTCGAATCCTGTGTTGGGCAGCTGACCGTTAACTTCTGGAAGACGTGTATTGTATTCTGATGACTCGGGAGTCATATCACCAAGGTCAGTGGTCCCACTATTGTATGTTGTTGCTGGCACTTGTTGCGACTGCTGCCTGTCAACGTCATTATTGGTGAATTTTTCAAGAGCATTCTCCGGTGTTCCTTCACTAAAGGTGAGAGGGCCATTAGATTGGGTTAGCGAGTAATCAATCTGGGGTGATTCCTGCTGCGTGAAAGAGGTCAATTGATTCTCAGAAAAAGAATGGGTTTGAGGTTGATTAACACAAATAGTGTCAGGCTCATTGCTATCGACAGGCTGTTTTGGAATCCACAAAGCCTCTTCAAAAAATGTGTCACTTGATACATGCCCATAGTCTGATGAGGGATGATTTGACTCTTCAAAACTAGATTCATCACGATACTCATTTAGGCTTACACAAGTATCCTCTCTTTTGCTCGCAGTAGCCGATTGATTTGCCAATGGATTCTCATCGCGAGGTACATATCTAAAAGTTGCTAATTTCCGCAAAGTCGTGTTCGCGATTCCATTCGAATTAAGTTTCATCTGTTCCTCAGTTGTTGTGAAACCTTGTAGTCGGTTGATGGATTGTGGTTCCTCTCTTGGAGGCTTTGAAGTGAAACAAGACAATGACGGTTTGGTAATTGTTGAATTCTGAAACAATTCTGAAGACCTCTTCCGCTTAGTAACTGTGGCAGAAAGCGCTCTCTTCTTAGATCTCTTCTGAGTATCAGTTGGTGTAATCAATTGAGAAACAGAAGGTCTGTCGCCCGATTCGTTGGATAATTGCTCAAGACCTTGATGGGCCGATATTGCTTTTACTCTAGAGGGAACCTTGAATGCAGGTTGCGCTCCTTTCATAGGAATTTTCCTTCTTTTCGGCGATGCTACCTCAAGTATTTCAGCACCACAAGCTTCAACAGTAGCATTTTTATGTGACTTTGCATTGGGTAAGGTTTTCGTGGGAACATTCTTCGAGCGTGAAGTTCTTCGCTTTTTACCACCTGGGATGGGAAGATTCGGAGCGTCATCTGGTACGTCGTAGACATCTATGTTGCGCAAAGCTCTCAATGGATCGATCGTTCGTGTCAAAGGTGATATTGGATTTAGGCTTTTTGAACGATTAAGATTGATTGGAGTGAAGGATAAATATGGGCGCATTGCTGTTTCTGGCGCACTGGTTGAAGATAAAGTATTAGTATGACAGACTTGAATTATGGCAGAATCCAAACAGACATGTGTGCCAGATCTTCTTGACTTCTTTCTTCTCTTCTCGATTCTTCTTGCTTCAAACCTTGATACTGCGCCATCTTAACCGCATTTCCATTCATCACCAACTCATCCTCAATTCATCACTTATCACACCACCCCCTTCATGCCCCTCCTGTTTCAATCTTCCCTCCGCTTTACGTCATCAATTGAAGATTGGCGAACAATTGACCTGTATACTGATAATTTGAGTTCAGACGGTAACTTAAAGGTCTCGAAACTAGGGACAAGAATTAACAATTGATCCTGTGTCATTGAAAGTTGCAGATAAAAGATTGAAGATTGACCAAGAGAAGCTCCAAAACGGGTGTACAGAGCCTAAGGCTCAAGTGTCATTAAAGTGGATACCTCGGACACTAGAGAGCCGTCCCGCCCCGCTCCACTAGTCTTCTTTCAATCCCTTTACACACTCCGTACATCACATGCTTCACTTAAAACACAACCAAAACCCAGAAATACTTTGATCTCATCTGAGTAACCTAAATCAGCACTCACTCAATATCCATATCTATATCTACCGGTTCCTTACTTCCAAGGTTATCATCGACTCATTATTGAATGTCTTTATCTCACTGATATCGACATACTGTACTAAATACACTAGCTACCCCTTTCTATACAGGGAGAGTACAATCAGTCAGATATCACCAAAAACCCATTCACAGATCATCCAACCCAAACCCAAACCACCCCTCCTCCCCCCACCTTCCACTTTAAGACGTGGCAGGAGAGCATTTGACATTAAAATCTAATAACTTCCTTCCTCGACAACTCACACTCCATACATTTTTGAGTCCCATCAAATCAATACACACTGCATCCACTTATTCTTGGTTATCCCGATATATCTGTTTGCTCTTCCTGCACTCGTACTATTGGTCTCTTGTTAAACATTGCGGAAGAAGCTTGTAGCGAAGCCAATCCCTTTCATAGTCAAGGGTTCTGAGATACGGGTTGGCAAATATGTTTTCTTCGGTCAGTACTCTATAGCTATTTTCTACTCTTAATTCCCGAATTTCTTCATTCATCTTCCTTGCTTCCGGAATTGCCCCATTCTTATCAACTCACATCACGAGATCATGGGGACATGTTCGTGATTCGTGAGATTTATGACTGATGTCCTCCTGTCATGGCGAGCATGGTAGTAGGTCTGCCAAGAGAAAACTTCAGCGTCGTCATGCAAGATCTTACAATGCATCATACATTCCTTCAGAACCTCAATCCGACTATTTTCATAGAGGTCATGTGGGGAGTCTTCTTTTTGGCAGACAGAAAACAACAAAGACGGAAGAACTAATATATGTTCGTCGTAAACAGAAGAAACCATATTCAGCAGTTACTGTCGCTATCGAACGCCTCACTAGTGAAGAAACCGAAGATGGTGCCTATGGGGGTATTCCAGATTTGGTAGACGTTATCAAACTTCAATCTACTGGTCCTAGAGAAGCCACTAGAGCTCTTCGAAAGAAGCTCAAGTATGGCAATGTACAACGTCAGCTTCGAGCTTTAGAAATTTTGGATGGCCTCGTTCAGAATGCCGGCCCAAAATTTGAACATGTTTTTGGCGCCGATGATGCTTTCCTCGAACGTCTACGTGTCTGCGGTGTTTCAAGCACTTCAGATCCTGCAGTGAGAGCTAAGTGCAGAGAGCTATTTCGAGGCTGGGCCATCAAATATAAGAAGGTCCCTGGAATGGAAGATGTCGTCAATCTACTTCATGTATGTATCTTCAGAAAGTCTTTATATATCATTTACTAACACGTTTTAAGGCACTGCCTGATACAAGGAAAGTTGTCACGCAAGATAGATCGAAAGTTCTTCGCGAAACAGAGGAAAATCCCTTCCAGGATGATGAGCTTGAGGAGCCATCCACACCTGGCTCTTCTAAATTAGGCCCTTCTAAAGCCGGACCTCCTCACTCAAGACAAAGTTCTTTAACAACTGCATCTGCTAGTACTAGAGAACGGGCATCCTCTATCATGTCTGGATCTGCTAAGAAGGTCAAGAAAGATGATAAAAAGGACAAGAAGAAGAAAAATAAGCCTTTCAACCTAGAAGCCGAGAAAGAAGCAATGAAGGCTGCTATTGCGGACTCAACTGTTGCATCTACCAATCTTTTAAATGCCTTGAGACATATCGATCGAGAGAAAGAGCGAATCTCTGAAAACAAAACAGCTTCGCAGTATTTTGACACCTGTAAATTGCTACGAAGAAAGATTCTCAGATATGTAAGTTTGAGGCCAAAATCAGGGTTTCCAGTGAACCATGTTAGTAGACTAGACGTAGACTTCCAATGATCCAACTATATTGGGATACTGGAAGTCTCTGGTTGTCAGACTGCAGTCCGCACTGTTGTAACACCTGGTCAATACAAATTTGCTAACCATTTCTTCAGATCCAACATGTAGAGGCCGAAGAATGGCTTGGAGGGCTTCTTCACGCAAATGATGGATTGGTCAATGCCTTAATGACATTTGAACAATTGGATAGATCGATTGACGCAGACAGTGACTCTGACGACGAAATGGCCGAGCAAGCTCATCTTTACAAAAGTATGTGTATTCATCCTCAAAGTTACGTTCGACTTTCGAGAATAATTAAAGCCTTTGATTGTCGCGTTTGAGCACTTACTGATACCATACAGTGGCGGAAATTGGTAATGCGGACCGTAAGGCAGGCCGTAGAGCTAGTGATTCAACAACACAACAATTGCATGATCTTACGCTCGGTACCGGCCCACTTACAGGCCCACATAGTCCAACCAAGCCAGCTCATCGTCCTGCACCACCTACTCCGGTTCAAACGACTCACCCGAGACAGGAGGAATCGGAGGACGAAGAGGAAGAGGAGGATGAAAATGACCCTTTTGCTGATCGCAATGCTCTTGATTGAGCGTAGGTTTTGGATACCCTGTTAGATCGGAAGACTACCATCTGGGGTAGAGGATTGTTGTAGATTGTTGTGAATTGGTCGAAGTGGATTGGTTGATTTAGATTGGCCGTTTTGAAAGCAGATGGGAGTTGTTGTATTGGCAAATCATAGCGTGGATGGAGGAATATCTTTTGGTGCGGTGCCGTGCCGTGCAGTGAGGTGTGAATCTTGGCGATGATGGACTGAGGCTGAAGAAATCATGGATAATGAATGAACGGATGGGCGATAGAATAATTAAGTACGAAAGTTTACCAATTGCATAGTTTAGAACCATGATTACGTTTTAGTACTCTGCAAATTGAATCTCTTCCTTTGATGGCTGTAAGGCTCACGGATAAGTCTCGAAATCTACGGAAGACTCTGGATTTTGTGCATGGAGACTTTGGGATGAACGGGGTGCATACTCAACCGAGGACATTTAAGTTCTCATCAAGAGAGAATATGATAGCATATACTAGGTATGCACTTCAAAAGTTATAAATGGAATTCCATATTCATTATTGTAGATGGAGTTGAGACGAAAGAGAAGAAGTGGGGTCGTGCTATACGGTATTCATTATCCAACATGTAGGTGAAATGTGTGATGAACACTTTATGACTTTCGGTGGAACTTGTACTATACTGCTCCCCTCCAGGTCATCTGCAGCTAAAGTAGCCATGTATAATCTAGTTTAACTCGCCGCTGTGTCTTTGGATAGATTCTGAAAATTAAATTCCGGTCGCAGCTTATATAGCGTGTAAATTCGATGTGAGAGGATTAGGGTATGTTATTTCATTTGTTCGGGACTCGCGAGCACCTATCTCTTCTGGGGTTTGATGAAAGAGCGTATTCTTATAGGACATAAATGCAAGACATGAGTATGATATTTATTATCTACAGTATATACAGTAAAATGAGTATCGGCCTCTCCATGATGTTCAAAGTTATGGATTCCTCATTGAGCTTTCTCGTTGCTCTCTATCTCATACTTATGACTTTTCAATGGCGAATGGTATGGAGATTGGCTGGAATAATCAATAATGTGAACAGTGTGAGGTTTGCAGATGTGATAGCCGTGACCTAAGGGCATTCACTTCGTTCCTTTTGGCATCTTCCCCCCTCAGGGTTATCTCGCTATAACTAAGCCATAGCGATGTTTAAATGAATCTCCATGACTATTAGACTCTAACGACCTTGAATTCTTCCGGATGATGCCCCTTCACTGTCGAGACTCGATGTTGAAGAAACGCTTCTGTCAATCGCTTTCTTCGTATACTGAGCTCACTCATTCTCATACTCAGATCTGTCGCTTGAAAGATTCATTTTGACCAATCCCCCCAAAAACAAAGAAGCGTGTGTTCTAGTGGTGCATTGGCAGACCATTTCATACCTTCACATAATTGGGCATAGAAATGAGGTATTTCACACCCAAAATACCGCGTTCCAATGGCTACTGCCTAAGAATACTTGTAGCAACTAAATATCTCAGACCCTTCTTCGCCAACAGCCCCTTGTCAATTTCATCCCGTGATACTATTTCCAACCCGATCAATCGCTCTTCCCTCCATCAAACTTATTGAAAGAACAAAGTTGGTTCCTGAGACGCATGATAGAGGAACAAGTGTACGTCACACTCATCCAGCCCTTTCTCCACCAACATACACAATCGGCACGGGACTTCCACCTAAGCCGGAATCCGGATAAGTTACCCAATCAAATGTTACAGGGTTGTGGAAATACCTTGTATTCGATGCATATAGGGTCAGCCTTATAGGTTGGACTTACGACTTGGGATGCCGTTCGAGCCTTTTTTGAAGGTAGGATATTCGCCGAGTAGGTAATCATGGTACAAGATTCCTCAGTGGGAAATGATTAAATACTTCGATGCTCGCCGCGAAGAATGAAGGTGGAATCTGTATAATCTTACTTGTGTTCATTCTAAGTAACTTCAAGGGACGAAACCTGTCAGATTTTGAGAACGATAATATATAGATAACGATATCTACAGGAATTTAAGAAGAAGACTTCTGACATTACTTCTTGTATACTTATTCGTTTTGAGGTGTGGTGGGACCTGAGTAAACGCCTGTATCGAAAAGTGACCTATCAATTGTTCCAATCCGAGTGAGCAACCCAACCACACATAAGCCGATATTTCTTCGTTAGCAATCTGCAAATATGAAAAGATCACCACCATCGTTGTCGGCGTCATCGACATCAACAGGAAGAGAAATGGCAATGGATGATTACGAGAGTTTAAAGTCTATCACCACGTTGGATACCCAAAGCAGCGATTCTTCCGATGTCAGAGTTGCAGAGAAAGGGAAAGGAAGAGGTATGGAGATGGAGATGGGTATTCTACAAACAGAATCGACCCCTGCATTTATAGGAAGAGAAAAATCGCCTACTCCATCGATGTTGGTGAGGAGAAGAACGGAGGAGGAATCCATGCGGAACGAGCAGACGGAGAGGACGAGATTTGAGGAAGCGAGGAGTGGGAGTGTGAATAGAGGGAAGGGAGGGGAGAAGAAGGATGGGGTTAAAAGAAGACATTCGAGTAATGAACATGCTAATGTCTATACTGAGTAAGTTATTCCAGAAGCCCTGATGTTGTTGATATTCTCGGCTAGCATCTTGATAGTCAAACTTCGGCAGCAATAATCTCCACATTGTATATGCTAACTTGGAGTATTATAGGTGCGGAAGACATTCAGACGATTGGCTATTCGGAGGATTTTCCATTACAGATGCAGTGAAGAAGATTTGGCACAAGGATGGAAAAGATTCGGGATGAACTTTGAAAGAGTGCGCAATTGAAGGGAAAAAAACAACAGCACAAAGAGTTGCGACAATCGAAAGACCTACGTTGAAATGCTCCGTACACATATCACAATCGAACAGCCAGCATGTCGGCTTTGTCCAGGAGGAGAGAACCTCCGCGGCGTTTGTATTTTTTGTCGAATTCCTATTAGGAAAGGATCTAGCTGGTATTGGTAACAAGAGGTTGTTTTACCCCTCGTGTTGGGTTGGAGAAGACGTGATGTATACGTAGGACACCATGACAATCTGAAGAGGATTTTGGTTCTTGTCATATAGTTTATAATTCCAATTCCATAATTGGTCAATGATTTAAATCCCCATATATAATTCCCTAATTGATGTTTATTAATGCAATATTTTGGTGGAGTATCATAAATTTCACATGAACGCTAAACTTCCATTGATCATGACGCTAGACCTCAAGCCAATTGGCCCTAGGGAAAAATGTTCAAAGCTTGAGGTGATCGAAATTTTGACATCTAAGAATAATCGCAATTTTTCAGTGAAGCAAGTCATCCTCTGCGCTTTACATTTTGAATTGGATTTTTTTAATGTTGAAATGCTCTAGAAACCTTTCAAGAGCCTTTATTTCGAAACCTTTACTATACAAATTCACCCCAATTCGCTCCTATAACTTCTTCGCAATGACTCCATCAGCAGACCAAGGGCCGGATCGCAAAAGAAAGCAACATCAAGGTGGTCGAGCTCCTAAAAGACAAAAGGCTTATAAGCCAAAGCCAGTCAAGGAGGGATCATCTGAGGAAGTTTTAATAGCAGATGTGCGAGCATTGTTCGAGGCTCAGAAAATCTCGAATGCTTCTCAGGTCCCAATCGAAAATGGAAATACCGAGTCTGCGAAGGTCGAAAATGGAGCAGGAAAAGAGGAATCAGCATCTGCTGAAACAGCGCCCGTGGCGGCAGAGACTCAATTAGAAGCAGCCTTACCGGAGAGATTCACAGAGATCGAAGTCAAGGTCGTTGAGATATCATCCACTGGAGACGGACTTGCGCTCCACCCACCTACGAACAGAATATATGTTGTGCCATTCAGTGTGCCAGGAGATATTGTAAAGGCAAAAGTCATTACACATTTCCCAAGAGATAATTACTCTTTAGCGGATTTTGTTTCCGTGGTTCAACCATCACCTCTTCGAGATGACAGTCGAGTAAACTGCAAATACTTCAGCAAATGTTCCGGATGTCAATTCCAGATGTTAGATTATTCGGAACAACTGAAACACAAGAAATCGATTGTTGAGAAGGCATACAAGAACTTCTCACAACTTCCACCGGAACTCGTACCAGCTATTTTGGATACTATTGGAAGTCCATTACAATATGAATATCGCACAAAGCTTACTCCACATTTTGACGGGCCACCAGGTTATAGGAGTAGGTCAAACAGGAGGAGTGATACCAAAGCTGCCTTTGATAAGGTTCCAGAAATTGGATTCATGCAAAAAGGGAAAAGGGCAACTTTGGATATTGAGGATTGTCCAATTGGAACAGATGCAGTAAGGATGGGAATGAAGCTTGAGAGGAAAAGAGTTGCAGAGGAACTCCATAAATACCAACGAGGAGCTACGATTTTATTACGAGAAAGCACCAAGAGAATTTACAAGGGCGATGCGGAATATCAAGAAGATATGGAAACGCCACCTAACACCATTAAAGTCACAAACCCCGAGTACACTGATCTGAAAACTTGCATTACGGATAATAAAGGGGAGTCGACAGAATACATTGAAAACTTCCTTTTTACCAGTATTGCGGGATCTTTCTTCCAAAACAACAATTCCATTCTTCCTGTTTTCACCCAATACATTCGAGACCATGCTTTACCACCTCCAGGATCCTACTCCCCAGACCTACCTAAAATCCAATACTTAATCGATGCGTATTCCGGCTCCGGACTCTTTACCATTACACTCTCATCTCTCTTCAAATCCTCAACTGGAATAGATATCTCAGACGCTTCCATCATATCTGCTCGTCGTAACGCTGAACTCAATAAATTAGATGCATCAAGATGTAGTTTCATGGCAGCGGATGCACCAAAACTCTTCAAACAAGTCACTTATCCTAGAGATGAAACGGTGGTAGTCATTGACCCTCCGAGAAAAGGATGCGATGAGAGTTTCTTGAGTCAGTTATTGAAGTTTGGACCGAGAAGAGTGGTTTATGTCAGTTGTAATGTTCATACACAAGCGAGAGATGTGGGGGTATTGGTTAATGGAAGCGAGGAGGGAGTTAGATATGAGATTGAGAGTTTGAGAGGTTTCGACTTTTTCCCACAGACAGGGCATGTGGAGGGGGTGGCGGTGCTCAGCAGAGTTGATGGGGAAGTCAAGGGTGGAGATGCGTAGATGGTTGATGGCAAAGAGGAAGTGGCTAAAGAAGAACCGGCCGAACCCGAACCATCTAAGGAAGAACCGGTTTCGAATGAGGTCAAGATGTCAGAATAAAAATCGGGTTCCCTAATCGGACTTTCTGCCTATACCCTCAAAAGGCTAGATCTTGATATTCGACTTGATTCTCAGAATATACTTTCAACCAATCAAAATATTCATCAAACGTTTATTTACTTCCCTGCTTGATTTATTACCTGCTTCTCTGCCCAGCTGCTCAAATAACCTCTTTACAAATCCATGTTCTTTAAGATATATTTCTAATCTCCCCGCATATATTGTGGAAACTCCACTCCACTCCGCCTCCACTCTGGCAATACTTCGTTACTTCTACTTAAGTCCAGCTGATAGGAGGAATAATTGTTATCTTTTCTATTTCATCGCATCTCGTGTTGTTCTGTCTTTCTGAGAAATTCAAAATTGTGGGATCGTGGGATTGTCAGATCTTGGATCGTTACATTGCATGCATGGTCTGCTGAGAGGTGGATAGGTAAGAAGTAAGAGGTGAGAGGTGAGGGTGAGAGGAAAATACAGGATTTTATGGAGTATATGCATGCTCAAGGAACTGAGCTCGGGAGTTATCGTAGCGGCGATGCGTAGGTATCTTCGGGCATTGGGCTGTGCTGTGCTTGTGCGTGTGGATATGGGGATGAGAGAATGAACGGGGGCTTAGGATAGATTGGAGATTGAAGTTGGGGTGGAGTTGGGATAGAGATGGAGAGAATAGGAATGTAAACGGAACGTAGAAGGTAAAGATTGAAAATCGGAAGTTGGGGTTTACTCTTTGGGTTGAAGGGATTGGAAACAGAAGTTGAAAGTTGGTAATTCAATGTGGATTGGAGGATGGTTGATATATGTATAGAGATAGCATCAGCTGGTTCATTGATTCGCTGGATGTACCTGCCAAAATAGATTCATTACAGTCATCTATTTGTCTGAATAACCCGAGTACTGGGGATTTTCAAAGGAACCAAAAAGAAAAGGTTGTAAAAGTGGAATGAGGACTGAAGAGGAACTGGAGGGGTTATAGCTGGAAACATGCGTGATAAACGGTGAGAGGGTAGGAGATATACGAATTCATGAATGATACTCAATTTGCTAGAATATAACCTAAAAGTCTCTTTCCGTGTATGGGTATGAGTATAGTGATTATATGGCAATACGATATCAAAGTTGAAAACTGCATCACAATTCGAGTGATGGAAGAACCAGACCACAAAATGACATTCAACTCTTCCCTTCCTTTCCATCGCTCTACCTCGTCAAAACCCCTCATTGAACCCTAACCCCCTGATTCCTTTCTCACACAGTGATATCCTTTCAAGATCACATATTCACTTACTCATAAATCCCATTCCCATCATCAAACCCTCCAAATATATTTCCAAACCCTAACCCTAAACCCTAAACTCCCATGAACCACACTTTTTCTACCATTTTGCCATATTCCCCGTCCTATCCACTACATGCTTTATTCTCTACCACCCCTATCCCAGTACATCCTCGTCTCGTACAGATACACACACACACACAACCCGACATGCAATGCAGACATGCAAAAATAATGCATTGCGCACGTCCTCATTTTTCCTTTCTCCCCCTTCTATTCTTTTCCTCCCGCTATATAGATAGATATATGAATGAATAAATGAGTGAGTGAGTGAGTATCCTACATACCACAAACTACATACCTACATACCATACACCAAACACAATACAACATGTAACACACATTCCGTACCATGCCGTGCCATCCAAGTCGTGACCTTCGAAACGTACGGGCAGAAGGGAGGATGCTTATGTAGCATGTAGCATGTAATATGTACTTACAAGACTCGTAAACTCCAGTCTCGTCGTACCTACCTGCAATATTTGGCGTTCAGACTCGTAAAATTCATATGTATACATACATGAAGCAAAGTGTGTGGATGGGGATTTTGCGGGTACATACTCGTGGGACTCGCTCGGAGAATGCACACTGTACTGTACTGTACTGTACTCGGTGTTTACCTGGTGACTTGAATACAAACGCGAATGCGCGGTGCGTGCAGGATGCGGTGGAGTAGTGGAGTGGATTGGAGGAATGTATAAATACGACTCACGAGAGAGAGAGAGAGAGAGAGAGAATGCAGTGTAGATCCAGAAATATCCGTTTGTCACCTTTCATGCTATTCTTTGTTTCTGTAAGGTGTGGATAAGGATGATGGGGAGGAAGATCATTGTGAGCATGGCGATCATGATGGGAATGGTGAGCATTGATCACTGGATGGAAGCTTGGCTCTTTTAGAGGAGATTGGATTAGCTAGAATGGATGGCCTCTGGATGTTAAAGTGGAAGATCTTGGGAAGGCTAGAAGTCGTGTGCTCACTTCTTTGATGGCAGTCATTATTGGATTGAGTCATCAATTTTGATGATAGCTATGAAGGAAGGTTGAATCTTTGACTTACGCCGTATGCGTTGGATTCGTATATTCACAATAGATTGTAGCGTATAATCTAGAGTATCTAGTACTAGTATTACCTTCTAGCTTTTTTCTGCCTACCAACCATCCATCAACACACTCAGC